TATTTATTTATTTGTTGTTTAATAATTGTTTATAGTAGTTGTTTAAAATTAATTAGTCAAATATTAACATTGTCTACTATCGTGTTAGGGTATTTTAGAGAACATATGCAGCGTTTAGTTTCACTTTTTTATTTGAGTCAACAAAAATATAGATTTTTTTTTTCTCACTGCAATTTTTTGTTAACTATATGTAAAGTTTGGGATCAGTACGTTTTATTTTTATTTATTTTTGTCAGCCACAGCACTGAACTGTTATAAGTTGTGAAACATTTTAATAATGCATGTGAATGAAAAAAGGGATGTGGTGCGAAACGCCTTTTGAAAATGAAACCCAGCAGGTGAGCAAAGCTCAAAGTCTGTTTTAACAGGATTCTGCAAGCCGCGACTCAGGACGCCACTGACCTGGAAAAAAAATAGTGTACAATAAACATCCTTGTTTGGCTGCTATGGAAAACAATGTCTTTTTCTCATTCACAGTTTGTATAACCACAGCAAACCATACATTTCATCCATGTTGACTGTTTGTCCTGCATGCAATTTATGACAGAACGGCATAAAACAAATATGGGAATTATTTCACATTCATCGTAGACGGAGGCAACCAGGCACAGTCCCGATTTTATTCGGAGCAGCTTGTTCTGGATTTCTATCTACCCCAGCACAGCGGTGCCTAATCAAACATCACTACAGGAGAACAGACTGTCTCTCAGGAGAATGGCTGTTTCATATCCCCCACTGTATTTTGTTTACCCTGTTTGATAGCTCCCCCTTTTGAAAGACGGCAGCACAGCAAACAACGTGATTATCGAGTATTGTGTGCTTAAAGAAACAGATGACAAGGACAAAGAGACAGTTGGTCCCGTAGCTACATCAGAAATCCCGAAGAATGCATTCCCAAACGCGCCGGTCGGGTTTGCTTTGGACCGAAGGATCGTGTGCATCATCCCAAACGAGATGCAACTGACACACTCCTGTTGGGACGTGGGGATTTGAATTGTTCCGCTGAGTTTAAACAACAGATTGGCAAACACAGGGACGCTGGTACTTTTGCTGCGGGCGGGAAACGTATAAGTGTGCGTTTCCGCCAGCACAAGTCTATCAGCACATGTGGGGGAGCAATAGGGTGGAGTCACGGCTCTGGAAATGCCACTCAACTACGAAACAATCTTATCTGGCAGTTGCAGGCAGTTCTCCTTGGCCTTCCATCCTCTACAGCCCACTCCATCCTTCTGTTTTTGTCCTGGACCTCGGTGCATTCACCAGTCCGAGTGTGGAAACCTTCTTGAATCTATCACAATTAGAACACGGTGTTGTTGTTGTTGTTTTTTGCAAGGAACGCAGCTTAAGGCGAACTCATTCGTTTTATCTTATGAGTAAAGAACGCTTGGGCAATAAAGGCACAAAAGCAGCAGAGAGACGTAGTGAACTCTCAGGACTGAAGCTAAATTAATGCTTTCCCTGTCGACAGCACGAGTTTGTCAGCTGCTGGTCGTTTTGTTTCTGGTGCATGTAAATGTGTGTGAAATGAGCGTGTTTACAGCATAGAGGGCATTTATGGATAGGATGGCCTTTGTCGATTATGTACCCACCACTTTATGAAATTGTTTGCTGAAGTGATGCAACCATATTCAAAATGTAATAAAAAAATCCTTGATTTTGTAATCTTATTTATTTACTTATTTATATCTGGACATAAATAAATGTTGTCTCAAATAGTTAGGAGGCCGAGTTAAAAAAAAAAACATAGCAATTCAATGTTTAAAAAAAAATGTTTGGTATTCTTTATATACTATTATAGTATTCATTAATAGTTTGAATTAGCTTTATATTTTTATATTTTCAGTTTTCATGTTAAAGTTTAAGTTTTAGTATTTTTATGCCCTTTTGTAATTTTTTTAAAGTTTTTTTTTTTTTATATTTCATTAAACTATTTTTATTTCAGGTTTAGTTTTAGTCATTTTAGTATTTCAAACGACACTAAACTTATTTTATTTCAAATAGGTGCCAAGGCTGCATTTCAAGTTTTTCATTTAATATTTAGATTTTATGTCAGCTTTATTTTAATTTACAAAATGATTTTTAACAGTTTTAGTTTGTGTTAGTTACAGGTATAGTTCACCCAAAAAGATTTTTGGTCCCCATTGACTTCCATAGTATTTATTTTTTTATTTAAATTTTTTAATGGCAAATGCTCTCCTACAGATATTATATAAACTATTTATCACAAAATATTCAAAGATCATGTTTAATTATTCATATATTTTGTTTTTGACTAATTATATTATAATGTATTATATTTACTTTATTTGAAAGCTTGATAACTTACACATATGGCATAACATATTCTCTCTCTCTCTCTCTCTCTCTCTCTCTCTCTCTCTCTCTGTGTGTGTGTGTGTGTGTGTGTGTACCTGAAGTGTACTCCATCCCATTAGAAGTGAGAAAAATGCAATAAACTGAGTTCCGTCAATACTAAATGTACAAGGGAGAAACACATTGCTCTTAGGAAAACAAATGGACCATTACGTTAGCATTTTATGACCAGGACAGTGACTAGTTAGAGAGGTGAATCCATAAACCATACATGAAATTCCAATGCGTTAGGAATACATCTCACTGATGGCGTTTACAGATATCAGGTAGTTCTGAATGCATTCCCTTGCAAAACAGAATCTCCTTTATTACCAGGCATTTCATCCACAGAGTTGCATGCATATTGCGATGTGTCTATAAAAGCGTCTGTTTTGTCTAATGTGGGCCACTGTTTGTGTTTGTCAGATGATTTGTCTGGAATGGTTATATCTCACAATTATGTCTATTGGATTGTTCTTGTCTTTATGCTTGAGAACGTCTGTTCATCGCAATGGAGAAAACTCTTGCAGTGCAGCACCATTGTAATGTTTTAATGTATTTCAAAGAGACAATTTTATTTATTTTTAACTTTTCCTTTAACCGAAGTGTAAGACAAAGCTACTGAACTCCGACCTTCAGAAGAATTACATCTTTTGCCTTTTCCTCTTCGCACAAAGACCCTGCTAGTTATTATTTACGATGGATAAATTTATGGAATAATTTCTCAGAGGAAGGTTATTCGGTTCCTCAAGGTGAAAATGGATACATTTAACACTTAATGAATCTGGCCTGGCCCTCTTCCTCATATATCAGCATGCTATTAAGGCATTTTAAAATCCCATTATGGTGTTTCTCCTTGAACAAGTCATGCTTTTATGGGACTGGCCTGTCTTTAAAACCGACCTTTTTCAGTTTGCTCCCCCCCCCCCACAATTGGACAGTAAAAGAAAATATGTTGAGGAGAAAGAGAAAATGTTGATCATGTCGTATCTCAAACGTTTCCCTGGAGCTTGAGTTGGCGTCGACGAGATGAAAGTTGCTGCAGCATTCAAAAAGGCTTAATTTCAGGTTACAGATGGCTGGGGAGCCTGCAAAGGGCACTTCGCAAATTTGGGTAATCTTGTCGCAAATCTCTGCACAGCTCTTGGCCCTTTTTCATGCAAACTGGGCCTGCTGTGTTGCTATTAGCAGTTTGTTTTGGATCGATATAAAGCTCCCGTTGGATTACAATTCTTGGGAATGGATGTTACAGTGTAAAATAGGCCTTTAGGACAGAATCTGCCCTGTTTTTCAACAATTAAAGAAAGTACTCTTTAATGTAACCATATCTTTAAAACTCTATATTAATCAGCATTTATGAAAATTAATCAAATATACACCATCACAAAATGAACCCTGATGGAAAGGACATAAAATAGTCACTTTATAAAGTTGCTGTACTGCTCCAATAGTCTGCACTTTTACAGTATTCCTTTGTGCATTACATCCCCTGGTAGGAATAAAAGGGAGAATAGAAAAACCCTTTGAACATCCTTTGATTCTGCAGCAAAATTCGTTTGAATCCTTGAACGATGGGCAAAAGAAGAAAAACAAACAAAAATATATATTTCTTTCTGTTTTGCTCAAGTTTGTAGAATAATAACCAGTCAAGAAAACTTCAACCTTTACGGGGATAATGGGAAAAAAAATTGTTTAGTGAAATACGGAGCACAAAAACTGTGATGACAGAGGCATCTAATCCAACAAATGCTATTCTTATCAGGCTTTAGTAGATTACCGTGAGCCTTCTACCCACAGAATCCCTCCTTGCCAGACACTCTCCACAGCCTAAGGGGCAGGGATCAATAGGGCTTCATTGATATCTTTCTCTCTCTCTCTCTCTTGCGACTGCCTCCACTTTTAATTGTTGCATTTCACTTCCTCCTTGCCACCATCTCTAGAGACTGTAACCAAGTGAGCACTGCGAAGCAAACACAAAAAAGCTTGCTGATGAGACCATAGATTTTTTGAGGGCAGATGGACTTTAAGCTAAAGAAGCTAATTTTATGCTTGTCATATTCGATTCCTGATTTGGAAGTGTAATTTTGGCTAAAAGTTTTAGAGATTTCAGTCTTTACCTATGGAAGTAGATGAGAGCTACACCTATAGTAGCTGCCCGGATCATAAGTAATATGGTTTCTGAGTGAACTGACTTACCTGACAAGAGACCAGGTAATAGAAATCAGGGGTGCCTTTAGGGTTTTGTCTGGAGGTACGATTAGAAACCTGGCCATGTCCCCATAGGCCCTGGCACTGATTGAATGCTTAAATAAAATGGTAGTCAATGCAAACACAGGATATTTGTAAATGCTTCTATTTCAGATGGAGAGAACAAGAGTTGTGCCTGGAGTAGCATGTCAAAAATAGAAACAGTGTGCGGGTAAACTGAAGACATGATGGTACAAATCACCACTCTTGTATTTTGTAAGTTTAAGGGATGCCATGTGCCCTGCAAACCGACATGTGGATCTTTGCATTTTATCAAAATTTAGGATTTTTTGTGACGGACATAGGCTCAATAGTTTGTTGGCTTATTGTGGTGACAGTGGTTGCCTGTGCCTGAACTAACCCCTTGTCTTGTCTATACTGTTTTTCTTCTTCCAGATGACTCGCCCCATCCAGGTGAAGCCAGCTGACAGCGAGAGCCGTGGAGGTAGATTGTCTTGTTCTTTTATTTTTTTCTTGATGTATCTTTTGTATGAACGTACATGAACTTTACTTGCCTTTCTCCCTGCTGAAAATATCAAAACTGCCCACCAGTGTTGTGTTGTGTTTTGGATGCTGGTACCCAATATGAGATCTTGGTGTACTGATGAACCCACCAGGCATTTAGACAGTTTTAGTCAGTTAGTTCCAGAAGGATCGTGTTGGTCTAAAACAGATCCACCTGCTAAATTATCATAACTTTGCATGGGGTCTTGTCAGCAGGGCTTTTACTCACCTACCTTCCTATCTTTACAATTCTCTTTCTCTGACTCTCTCTCAGTCTATCTGATGGATGCCCAGATTATTCATTTTAATTAAGGAGGCTGTGGTGCTAGTGAACGGAAGGGAAGTGGCTTCTGCTGCCTGTCTAACCTTGCTCCCCTTGCCAAACCCATTAACAACACACTGTAAATTAAAAAGTAATTAGCTTAGATATTGAAACGGGAGCCCTGAGCCCCAGACCCCCAACTTGATTTCTGGTCAAATCAAGGGGCATATTGTAAACAAAAGGTGTAAATGCCATAGGGATAGAATATGGTAGGTGGAAGGTAGAGAGAGGTTGGCTGAGGATGCACAACTTGCCTAACAATCAATTATATTGCAGGACACTTGCCAAGATCCTTAACTCTGGGTCTCTAGCATGTTTACTGGAAATAGATCCGTCTATTGAAATCACCCACACAAACATCCTGGGGTGGAGGATTTATTGAACTTGAACAGGTGTAAAAAAAGAGCAAAATAGGTATTTTTCTAGCTCTACTTTTTTTTCTTCTGATGGTCTAAACCAGGGATTGGCAACTCTTCACCTATGGGACCACTCTCCCGCAGATTTCGATTCCAGCCCTAATCAAACACACCTGAACAATCTCTTCGGATAATTTGGAACTAAAATCTGCAAGGCAGTGGCCCTCTAAAAGCAGAGTTGCAGATAGATAGATAGATAGATAGATATGACCACCTGGCAGACAAAAGAATCTTTAAGGGAATGACATAAACCATCAGACATGGGTCAACAAAATCTCAAAAAGTTTTCACTGGCAATTTTTGGGAAATGTTAAATGTCAAAGTCCCACATCCAAATGGTCCATCCCAGCAGTAGACAAGCAGGCCTTTGTAGAGGAGATTGATGCCTCATAAAACCCCATTGATTTTGCCATTGTGGAGGTGTGTGTGTTCACATTGACTCTGACACTTTGCTGTCTTTGGACTTCCCTGTGAGTGGCCAGCCTTAGCGCTCCCTAGGCACCTATTGGGTTTCCTTGGGTCCCTTATTGCCTTCCTCTTGGTGGCCATGTTGGAGATGGAAAGTGTGCTTAGGTCAGGCCCAATAGTTGCACATCATCCTAAATGAACAGTTCAGAGTAGCACCCCAGGAGCAATCCAACACCGTTGTGACTTTAATGGTTGCCGGGGATTTCTTTCCCAACCCTAGGCCAATCCTAGAGTATCCTGCTTTGACAGACTTGCTACTGCTTTAGGCAGTGCTTGCTAGCTATATGCGCTAATGCTGCTTTTTCTTCATGGGCACGTCCTCTAGTCCCTAAGGTAGCTGAGGATCCATGTGTTAGGACTTAATTACGTTACTCTCTCTAATTCCAAGGTGGCACCCAGACGGACACTGGTTATTCTCTCGAGTTCAAGTGGGTTGACTGTTGGGACCCTCAGTGGCTCCAGTTCTAATTATGCTCATAATCTCATTAAGTGGTTGAAATGTCACCACACCTGTTCAAAGAAAAACAATGGAAAATTCCTTCTAAACCTCATGGAACCTTCTCCACAAGGACTTTCTGTCAGTGGTTATTAAGTCTATAGAGCAAATGTGATTAAATTGTTCTTCTAAATGCTTTTAAAAAAATCATCATTGTAATCATTGCCAACCACATGCTTTTGGCCGTGCACTAATATTCCATGACTTGCTGTTTGGGTGGTTCTTGTACCATGGCTGTTTTGTTAGCAAAAATTTAAAGGACTTCTGCCCAAGTAAGTGTGTCCATGCTGAGCAGAAAAGGAAGGGAATTTGAAAATAGAAATTAAAGTGTATTTGATTGACAACTCCCTCTGTACCATCTGAGCCTTTTTATATTAGTCCTCATCTCCAGATAACAGCATGTTTGCCTTATTGAACACTTTTCTATCCTTGCTCTGTTATGCAGCATGTGTCATTAAAAAGAGCTTTGGGGACAGATTGTACACTCACATACACACTCTCTCTCCCTCTCCCCTGGTATCTCCGATATGAAACAGATTGATTTTGCTTCACAGGCAGGCCTGATGACTGGCACAGGCTGGATATAAAGGTGGCTGCTATTGCTTCTTGAAGGGCTGTTCAATGTCTCTCAGAGGTATTTGAGCCCTAACACAGGATAAATCACAAAGTCCCACCCTTTTGAGTAGATACCCCCACACTAACCATCTTGCCTTTTTAGTGGAATCATCTCAATGACGGGTTTCATGTCTTAATTTTCCCTCCTAGCCTAGAAATAACATAGAATTACTCCACACAGGCCAGTCAGTACAATATATGGATTTTCCAAAACTCAGTCCATTGAAGCAGTTGTTGGTGATCCTCCTGTTCCCCTTAATCACGTGTATTCTGTGCATGTTCTTGTGCATATCATGGACATATTTAGAATCCTGCCTTACATTTGGAATTAAGTTCCAATTGATGTCAAATTAAAATTTTGCCAAAATCTTGTGCTTCAACACATATTGAAAAATATGCACATGCTCAACCTCTCAAATAAAATGGAACAGGTCAATTTTCCCCTCAGCGCCTTGACTAACTGCTAGGTTCCACTTGTGGTTAAGATTTAGCCGCACTTCACCATGCCTGCATTATCTCCATTCTAAAGGATAGTGGGCATGATTGCATGAATTTGCTCGGATGTGACAGTCAGAGGTAGATGTGGAGTGTGTCAGTGAGTGGGGTGAACACTGCGGAATAATGAGTTAATCGGAAGGAACCCTCTTTCAACATACTCATGCATGCTAGCTTGCATGCTAAAAGAAGTTGTTGGCGGAATAAGCTTGTAATAAGAACAAAACAACAAGTACAGCAGACGTAATTATAGCTTTTCCTCAGAAAAGGGAAAAAAAGGGTCCAGATTACTCCTTTCAATTACACTTTGCTGGTTCAAATGTCTGACAAATATATGCTAATCCTCTTCACACACAAACATTGGCTATGTTGCATGTTTAAAAACCCATCCACCTAGCTGTGAGTATTCTATGAGTCATCCATATTCACATAGCATTTCTATCAGAGTATCAATGTTTGCAGTAGCATTACCAGCTCCATTTGGCACAGCGGAATAAAGTAGCTCAAGATATATCATGGCATCTGCTCCGTAAATACAGTGGGGCAAATAAGTATTTTTTGTAAGTGGGAAAACTTGAAAAATCGGCAGTGTATCAAATACTTATTTGCCCCACTGTATATAGTTTCAAACAGAATGTTAAAGGGATAATTCACCCAAAAATTATAATGACCCCAAGATTTTCTCACCCTCAAGCCATCCTAGGTGTGCATGACTTTCTTCTTTCAGATGAATACAATCTGAGTTATATTAAAAAACGTTCTGGCTCTTGAAGCTTTATAATGGCAGTGAATGGGTGTTGAGATTTTAAAGCCCAAAAAGTGCATCCATCCAACATAAAAAAAAATGCTCCACACAGCTCCGGGGGGTAATAAAGGCCTCCTGAAGTGAGTCGATGCGTTTGTGTAGAAAAATATCCATATTTTTAGCTTTAGTTTGCATTAGTTTTGGCGTCTACATTTGGGGGATCAGAAATAAGGTACCTTGTATCTTAAGGTTTCCAAACACTGTAGAAGCAATTTGACTTCAATTAACATTTCAAGCCAGCAGGTTCCCAGACAGAGGACGACACCTCAAGGAACATCTTTCAACCACTGATTTTCTCGTAATTCTCAGCCTCAACGTGCACGTAATCGCACGCGCAGCGGTCGGGAATTCATTTCAGCCCGCCTGTGCAAGCGGACCACCAAAGGTTACTGTTGAACACAAGAAGTAAAGGTCAGAAATCATGTTTAGTTTTCCTCCAGCTGCGAGGTAATTCCAGCCAGCAGATTGTGTCCCCGCCGAGGCAAGGCAGAGGAGCCTGGCACAGAAGGGTGAGCAGGCACAAGGTTATCCAGTCAGTACTGCCGCCACAGCCCCTTTGCTGTCACCCCTAATAAGAACTGCTCCCTTATCACTGCTACAATCACCTTTAGAAACAAACTCTTCTTGCTTTTTCCTTAGAGAAAGGCATGGACAAAGGTGACTGGGTTTCAGCCTGCCATTCTCATAATGGGTTATCTGCTTGTATCAAGCGGGAAGACTGAAGATAGGTTGATGGAACTTGTTTTCCTCTATCTCAGACTAAAGAGTTTGGAAAATACAAGTCAGATTGAATAACGTAGGTGTTGCTATTTGTGTTTCCTCTTTCTAAGCCTCTTATCACACCTACCATTAACCCTAAATAGAATCACTGGCATTGCTTCCAGGTTGTTTAAAGCAACAGTTCACCCATCCCTGTGGAAAAAAAGAGAAAGAAAACTGTCATGATTACTCACCGTCATATTCTGCATCTGTTGCATATGATTGCTGGAGAACATTGTTCTTACATGTATACTCCGTTTTACTGGGCTGCTGTTGCTAAGTGGGCCAATGTGGTGGCTGATTGCATGGGCTCTGAACGAGCTCTTGAGGTGTTCTGATTGGTCGGACAGGTCAAAAAGAGCGGAGCCAAATCACTGCAATCACAGGCTACTGCCTCTCTCAGTACTAATGATAGTCCTTCATATGCGGTCATCTCATTAAAGCTATCATGTTCACTAGTACACACACTCATGCACACACACAATATGTCCGGCATATTCAGGACACATGAGGACATATTTCATCTTACATGTGCAAGCCTGCCACAAAAAAACTGTCAGTCTCA